TGAAGACTTTTTTCCCCTCTCTTGAGCTACAAGATGGCAGATGATTTGAATGAACACCTTAGCAATGTTTTGGGTTTGGTGGAGGGTGTGTTGCTGAAACTTGCCACTTCCTTCATATTTCTGTTGCTATTTACGTGCTGGTTTGAAATGACAGGGTGCAGGCATAGTTGGGAAGGACTCAGTGAAAATTGTGTCAAGTCAAGTGCCATTACAGTAATCTGTTTTAATAATAGTTGAAATGTCTGCTTCCTCACCTAGTCTTTTAGGTAATGTTTTTGGGTTTTAAAGTCAGATTGTGACTTTAGTCATTGTCATTCTTGTAGAAACATTTGTAGCTGAATGCTCAATATTTCCCTTTGGGGTAGGTTTTTTAAATGACAGGTTTCTTGGAAGTCTGTTGATCTAAATAGATGGAGACATTTCCCTTTCTATGCTGAAATTCTGTAGCTGGAAGCTATGCAACCTTTAGGAAAAAAAAAAAGAAAATATATTCTGTTGCTTTAAACGAGCCAGTTTGAGACACTGTGCAACTCTTCTGAAGGTTTGCATAGCCAGTCTGAGGTTCCAGGTATTGGTACTTTGGCATCAGGGTTTTGTGGCTTAGTGCTGCGAGAGCCATAAGCCAGATACAAAAACCCACCCAAGTATCTCTGGCTCTCAGTTACTTACTGGAAAATACACAAATGTTTTTATGGATGAGTGATTTGGTTCTGAAGTGTAATTGAAAGTCGTAGCTTGTTTTTATTGCTGTGTGGTGGAAACTCATTTTCTCAGTATAGGGTCCAGCATTCATTTGTGAGGCTTGTGAGAAGTAGAATGCTATCGGGAAAGTTACGGTGCCTTTTCTGGTTTGTCCTTTAGTGGTAAAACAAAGTGATTAATCTGTCCTCCTTTCTTGAGGTCTATGTTGGAAGCTGGGGGATTTCCTCCCCTATCACATCCCTCTTGAAGTTACAGCTTTGTTCTGGCCACAGTCTCTCTATTTCATGGATACAGCTCGAGTTCCTTAAACAAGTTTCCATCCTGTGTCTCCACCCGCTTAAACTTCAAACACTTCATAAAGCTTTGGATCACTCTTAGCTTAAATATTTTCTTTTATTCTTGCATTCGTAAAGTAGGTCAGTCTTAAGTGTGACATTTTTTGTATAAAACAGCTTTTTCCAGGAGTTCTGTGGTTGATGAGTAACGGATATAAACTCAAGTGTTTGATCATGACATTAAAACTAGAATTGATTTTGAGTGAAATGCTATTCTGAATTTTGTAAAGAGAATGAATGATTACATTGGGCCTTATGCCTTTTAATCACCTTCCTGGGCAAATTTATAAAAAACGATTTTACCAGAGATGGAAGAACACTGGCTGTCCTCAGGACAGGGATATCATTTGGCAGTGTTTTCGTTGTTAATAAAGGGACATGACAACCATAAGACTGTGTTTTTTCATCATTTTATAACAAACTTCTGCCTGTAGGTAAACCCAGAGTACATCCTGGAGAGAGCCGTGTCCTCAAGCAGAAGAGGAGCGATTGCTTTGCATTGAAATGCTGTCCTTTGAAACTCGTTTATCCTTTAGGGATGTTTCTAAGGTACCCCAATATGAATTGGAGTTTTCCTCCTATGTCAGACCTCTTGTACATCTCAAAAGCGTCTGCTGATTGCTTTTGCTGGGCCTTGGATGTTTTGGGAGAAGACTTGAGCTTCTAAAGAAGAGAGATTGCCTTTTATGACCGCTGTTGTGCAGGAGGATAACGTACCACGAGCAGGGGTATCCAGAACAGGCGATCAAAGAAAATTCTATTGGATCCAGGAGCTATGTAGTGCTTTCCGAGTGTTTTGCTGCAACTACTGCGTGTCACTTTGATGGGCCTGTGCTCTGGTTTGCCCATCCATTTCTTTAACAGAGAAGATATCAACTTACGCCTTCCAGAAACCTTTTCCAAGCTGGTTACCTCTCCTGCTTCGATTTTAATAAGTGCTGCTTTTTAATCTGTGGTGAAGGGGTTTCTTGGAGGTAGTCCAGCCTTCTTGCAGTAAATCCAAGTTCATGAATGTAGATTTAAATTCCTACTAATCAGTCTGTCATCCAGTTTTCTATTATGTAGCAGCCAATTAACCTGTAGCAGTTCTTTATTTTTCTTGAAGAAAACAGGTTTCAAGGAATGTTCTCCTCTCCAAACATGACTTCCCTGGGTTTAGATAGTCTTCAGAAATCCCACTTCAGTGCGTTTTAGTTGCTGTGTGAGGAAAGGTGAAATCTAATGTAGTGATCAATGATATATATTTTCTCCCCATGAAGGAGGAGTGAATTTTTGAAGTGATTATATATTGCTGAAGCACAGAGGAGGCTTTGGCTAATATATATCCCAGCGTGCCTTGGATTCATAACGGTTCAATCGCTGGCATTGTTGTTTGAGTCTCAAGATACTGGATCTGGCTATGGCAAACCAACTTTATTGAAATAGCATGTTGGTATTTAAAACAATATTAATACTATATTTGATTCATTAAATATACAAAGGCAAGTTAAAGCGTTTCCATGTGTGCACTGTTAGTTCTGGCGGGAGGTTCTTCAGTTGGTTTTATGTGGTTTCAGACAACATTTTAGCACATTCTTAAAATACCCACAAAAGCCTTTATGTAAAATCTCATAAAGGTGAACCACATAAAAATTATTTTTTTCCTGTTTCATGTCATTAGGATCAAAGTACAGTAGGTAAGAATAAATTTCCAAAAACCTTGTTTCGGTCCCTCTCTTAATTAATGTTTCATGCTCATAGCAAGCTCATAAAGTGGGTAATGGGGAAACTGTCTGTACACACTGCAATATTCTCAGTGGCTGCCAGTTCATTTTGAGTGAATTCACTTATTATATATATGAATTTTTTTTTTTTTAAGGAAACTTGGTCTCAAAGTGGACAATAGCTTCTGCTCTCTGGCCTTTAATTCACACTGCCCTTTTGTCAAAGGAAGGGTCACTTAGATTGGAACGGAGGTTCACTGCGGGACTGAAATTCCTGTTAACTGCATTAACCAAAATCCATTTGTGAATTCCCCAGGGGATATAAAAAAGGTGTTTGTTGGTTTGTTAGGTTTAAATTGCCTGTTGGAAGTCTGGCTTTAGCATGCCTGTGGAGCAAAAGGCTTTCCTTTTTTAATGGTGTATTATCAGTGGCTTGGCAAATGTCATAGGACAGTGCTGTGTGTGTTGGTTACTTAAATGCCCAGGCTAAGCTTGGTGATGAGTAGCAGTAGTCACCCATTAAAAATAAAATGATGTGGTGAGTTAGTATGAAGTCATATACCCCTCCTGGGGCCAGCATTGTTTTTGATACAGACTTGGATGTGTGCAATTAAAAAGGGAGCTCTTTTGGTGACTCTGCCTTCTTGAAACAATGTGCTGCACTGATCTGTAAGTGCAGAGAAAATGTTGAAAGTTGCATATGTTATTTGCGTTAACTTCCCAATATCTTTTCTCCTGACTTGTAGAAAAGAATGGGTTAGCGTTCTTTAATCTATAATACTTCAAGCTAATACATGAAGTCCAAAATGCACAGTAAATCAAATCTTAAATGCCATTTAACAACTGTCAGGCTTTGTGTTTAGAAAGGAGGGGAGCATGAAGGTGGGAGGGTTCAACAAGTTTTTCATGTTGGCGATGAGTGATACTTTCCTTTCTTGCAGAAGAGGAGAGACATGCAGTCACTTGCAGATCTGTGTGATCGTCTTGGTTAGACAGTAAGAGGCAGGAACACAGAACGGTTTAATCTGCGTGACTCTCTCCCATTTTAGCTGCTGGGAACTGTCAATCATAGCAGCTCCTCATGTCTTTGGATGATGAGCTTTTGCTGTCCTCCAGACAATGAATTCTCAGGTGTTTTGTCTGCTTTATGTACGTACTTGCAGAACGGCAGTAAGTGCTCAGAAGAGAGCAGAAACGTCTGACTACTAAAATGTCTTGTCATTGATCTTCTGGCTCAGCTGAAGTTGCTTCTCCTCCTTTCCTTAGTTCTTCGCAGGAGATGGTGGTTCTGTGCAGCAGGAGTTCATCGCTGAGATCTAAGAGTTGTGTGCCATGAAAGAGTATTCCCTTTTGCTCGATTCTCCTTATGGCTGTTTGGTAACTTGAGAATGGAAACAGTTGGTAAAATGCTGTGGGTTATAGTTTCAGTCTTCTAGAAGCTAAAATTGGTTCTTGTGCATCTTTCTTCCCACAGTGTTAGGTTGTTTACCATTACTTTAAAGTGTGTCTTTCATCTGGCACATAAGGAGCCTAGCACTGGTGTTATAAAGAAGGAGTTGGGTTCCGCAAATGTCGTTGCTTTGTTAGTTTTCTAAGAGTGTACTTTTTGCTACCAGAAACCTGAGAGTTAGGTAATGTAGCCTACTCTCTATTGTATACCGTATCTGAAGCTGGAATTATATGTAAACCTCGACAACATCCCTTCATTTCTAAGAACCTTGGTTTCAGTTCAACTCTATTTGCAATAAATCAATGTCAGCTTCACACAAACTTTTGAGACAGCAGCGTAAAGCTACTTACTTGCTCCCTTTTGTCTTAATTAGCAGACTTTGTTATAAAGAACTTCCAGACTTTCCCAATAGCAAGAGAAAGGAAAAACAGAAAAAGACCAAACTGTAAAATAAAGCCTTACCCTCAGCCTACTTTGTAGCTTGTGCTTTTACCAGCTGTTACAGTTAATTGGAATCAGAGGAATTGTTTGCTCAAGTACTGTAGAAATCTGTAGCTAGCTCTGTTTCTCACTAGACTTTTATTCTCCTTTAGAGAAATATACAGTTTTTTGTAATTAAAGTCTCTGCATTATAAAATGATTAAAACTGCTGTGTTTCTAGGTATATAACTGGTGAGAGTGTGCCGTCTTAAAAGAAAAAAAATCTTTACTAGGATGTAGAGATTCTGCTTATTTAAGATTATTATTGATATCTGACTCTGGCTTGGATCCTGCTTGCTTTTAACATGCCTATTGGATTGCGTCCTGCAGGTATTTTGAAGGTGGAGTCTCCTCTGTCTACCTCTGGGATCTGGATCATGGTTTTGCCGGGGTGATCCTCATTAAGAAAGCTGGAGATGGATCAAAGAAGATTAAGGGATGCTGGGATTCCATCCACGTGGTGGAGGTTCAGGTACAGCCTCTGGGGCAGCTGATATTCCTAAGTGAAAACAAAACCCAGACAATTAACGAGCACAGGTGTTCCACTGAACAATGCAATATTGTGTTAGGGGCTGTAAACTTCTTTCCCCTGTTAATTTTTGAAAATTCCCTGAGGCAATTTGGATAGAGATAAGTCAGGGCTGTAATCAAAAAGAATCCCAGAAGAATTGAAAGTATGTTACTTTCTGTGCATGTGATCCTGAGATTATTTTTTTTTTAACATAAAGGTCTACAGATAAATATCACTAATTAGGTAATAAAAACAAGGTAATAGGAGGTTAAATTGCTCTAACTAGTTTTGCTTTGGAAAATTAGGGGAATGTGCACACTTAAAATTGTTTTTCAGAAACAGACCGTGCTATGTGAGTGGAGTTATACGTACCTGTCCTGTTGCTCATGGGGTCTTCGGGGCCAGCCACCATTTAGTTTTTGAAGGGATTTTAACCTTTTGTCTCTATTCTTTTTGTTATCCTTCCACTTCTAGGAGAAATCCAGTGGTCGTACTGCTCATTACAAGCTGACCTCCACAGTGATGCTGTGGCTGCAGACTAATAAAACTGGTTCTGGTACCATGAACCTTGGAGGGAGCCTTACCAGACAGGTATGTCTGTATATTGGCACGAGTGTATGCTGCAGACCCAAGGCATGCCTTTCCTCATTTATATACCCAGTAGCCCCAGTCAGGAACAAAAAGTTGATTTTGTGAGGTGTTGTATAAACATCTATTCTCCTGCTGCGTATGCAGCCCAGTGAAACAGTTAATGCGTAAGTGTGTAATTAGCAGGAAGCCCCTTGAACTGCCATACTCCCCTCGATGGCAGTATAGCTTTAAATTAAAAATATAAAACACAGTGGGAGTTTAGACTTGGTTCGTTTTTCTTTTGTTATTCCTAAATTTTTATACTTCCATATGTGTTACCCAGACAGATATTTTTATCTGTAAGGTTTCCCCAGTTTCTTACTGGAAGATTCCAATAGGATTATAAAAATACAAGATGACCTCTTTTGTTATGCATCTCTTTTAAAAGCCAGCTAGGCCACCGTGAACGAACCTGTATTTTGCATTGACTATAGGATTCTTCTTTGCATTGACGTCAGTTATCTTTTAGTATCCTTCTTTAGTATTTTCCTCCTGCAATACCAGGACACTAATTTTTAAAAACCTCTTTAGGAAAAAACAAAACCAAAACAAAACGCTTCTAAACATTTGGGTTTTTTGTGCCAGTGTTTATTACTTTGACTTCCTCTTGAGAGCGCTGTTTTTGCAAGGAGGGTGCCAGACTGATGACTGTTCAGGCAGTGCTGCTGTCTTAGTCTCCGACAGGCAGAATCTCCTGGACTTGAGTTCGCTGGGTGAAGGTGCTTCTGCCCCAGCCACCTGCCAAAGGTTGCCGTCTCCCTACTTCATGCTGCTGATGAATTGCGGTTGCTTAAGATCTGGACTCTGGAAATCAGTGACTCGAGCAGAGTAATAAACTCTGGAGGACAGGAGGCATATTGTATGGTCATGAGTGACTAGAGAGATTGGCAGTAGCTAAAACTCCTTTATGAGACTTCCCAGGGCAGACTGTTGCTTTCGATACAAAGGACAATGCAGACTCTGTTAAACAGTTCATGTTTTTGAACAGGTTTGAGCCAGGCGAGGGAAGGAAGGATCTGTGATTGCAGAGAGGAACTGAAATTGTGTTAGTATTGCAGTCCCAGAAGCTTGCCCTAGACCTAGGTGATTTTCTTTCCACGTTGTTGATTTACAGAAGAAGCTGATGGAAAAGCAGGGGCGGGGAAAAGGCATCTGGAGACAGTTTTGAGCATTGCGTACTCTTTTAAAATGTTTGCAGTAATTACACCCGAGTTATGGTGACCCGGACAAATATTTAATCACAGGCCTTCCTAATACTTTAAATCATAGCTGTGAAGTGGAGGCCAAGGGCTTGACTCTGGCCATGGCCTTATGGTGCGTGAGAGCTGTGCCAAGGAAAACAAGAGTCTGTTGAGAACGGGTGTCCTCAGTACACCTTGGCCTGAACTGCTAGGCCTTGTTTAGTTTGACTTTCACTCTCTAAGTTTTAGTGGGGAGATTCATGCTTCTGTCATCATTTTAACAGCAGATCATTTAATTCATATGTGATGCATTAAAGCAGGGGCCTGCTTCCAATGTAAGTAACCATAAAAAAGCCACTGGGGTAACGATGCACTGCTTCTGCACAAACAATGGAAACTTGAGTTTCAGAATTTAGCTTTGGGCCGGAGATTTTCTGTTTGCAGATGCCGTAGTAGGCTTAGTGGGACAGGCTTCGTCAGAATCCATGGCAGAAAATGAAAATCTTCATGCTGCCTTGAGGTATGCTGTGTGAGGAGGAGCTGTTTGTCCTGAGCCATTTATTTAGCTGTAGCTGGACTAAACTCCTGAGTGCAAGGCTTTCACTTTGCTGTAAATCCGGTTTGCCACATTACCTAAGGACCAGAGGTTTTATTTTTACTTTTGGTAGGCTTTTTATACAGTCTGCAGCAAACTTAGGCACTGAAGGTAGGTTTTAGTTATCTCTCAAATGGTATGTTACAGTTTTACCTTGATGATATCAGTAATCTGATGTCCTAACCATAATTTTGAAATAATTTTGTCCATGGTAAATTGTACATGGTTTTGGTCAACTCAACATTTAAGCTACTTGACCACCTTTGATCCTAAAATGTGAATAGCAGATGTCCTTGTGTTTCAGTGGAAGCTTTTGAAGTGTTCACAAGCTTTGTAATATCCTGGCTTATAAACTGATGGCAGAGAGAACCTTTCAATGCTTTGAAAGGGAAGTCTGTTGAGAGCCATTACTTTGAAACCAGTTTCGCCTCGTAGCTGCAAATCGGGTATTTTTCGAGTGATGACTGGAATGATTAACTTGGTGGCCAGGAGCAGGCGCAAAGGAACAGCTAATGTAATGCCTCCTAATTCACCACCTCTGGCAGCGATGAAGAGCTGGGCATGTCTTGCATTGAAATGCTATGGGGAGCATTTGCAACTTCATATGGAAACACTTGCTCAGTAATTCCTCTTCCTAATGTCTGCAGATTAAACTCAGTGCAAGTAATCAAGCAATCCTATTTGTTCTTCTGCAAATGGACAACGTGGTAGCATGGTAGACCTGAACTTGGATCTAGAAGTAAGAGTCTAGAAATAGCTGTTCTCTGCTGTCATTTCCTATTGGTGAAATATTGTTGCCCTGCATCAGACACAAACATGGAGTTTTTTGTTGCCTTTGTCAAGGCTATTTGGAAAAACTTGTCTTTGCATTTCTTGAATATCCCCAGACTCTTGTTACTACAAGGCTTCCACTTAGGCTATTCCTAAATGTTGCACTGAATTTCTAAGAATAATTTTTTTTCCTCTCTCTCTCCAAGACATCGTGTATTTGAGTATTCTTACACCTGGCTTGGAGCCATGTGATGTTACGTTCTGGATAGATATTACTTAGAGGTCATGTCCCTATCCTATGTCTGCTTTAATGTTATACACTGGGAATTGACGTGTCTCTTCCAATTCATTGTACTACTACTTTTCAGTGGTTTTTCCCAATGCAGTTTTTCATGTGCTACAATAGGAGTTGTCTCTGTCTTTGTTTATAAGGGGAAAGTAACTGTACAGGCATTTTACATTTGTAAGTGGACAGAATAAGGAAAGAGAGGGAGAGACATGGTAGACGGAGGACTCAGCCTGTTTTGGGAGGTTGAAAATCTCCTTTGTGTAGCTTTATTTTACTTTACCTGTTAGTTTTCAAAATGAGAACTTCAGGCTGCTTCTTTATCAGTTCAATTATGAAACTTTTTTTAAGAGTTGGAGTAGGGACTAATTCAAATAAAATATCATATGATGTGTTCTGAATGGAGTTTTGGATTTTGGTTTTGTTTAAAATGTCGGATTTCAGATTCTGTCCTGATCCAATAGAGAAATATATGTATGCACACACACAAGTATACAACGTACGTATAGTGATAGATTTTTTTTTTTACATAATTTATGTATACGCATAATTGATTTATATATGTTTATGTATAAACTTTTGTCTGGAGAGGATGAGAGAAATTCTTAGCCAGCTTGTAGGATCCATAGATAATAATTTTGGTCTGAAAACTTAGGGAGAATTAAAACTTAAGTGACATCTTCACACTGGACACTTCATTAGATCCTTATTGAAGCAGTCCTTTTGTATGGAAGAACACTTGTCTTTTTGCCTAGTGAAGATTTTGTTCTAATCTTTAGCAATATATTTTGTTGTTATACACAGATACTGACGCTGTGTATGTAGCCATCTCTGAAGGACATTATAGAAGAACTTTTTGGTGGAACTGGAAGGAGAAAGCTGATTTTTTTTCATTTTTTCCCTTGCTATAGTCCTCCCCCCAAAGGCATGCAGTGTCAGAGAGAGAACTTCTATTTTTACAGTTTCCTAAACAAGGGTGCTCTTCCAGACAGTCTGTTCTGGAGACAAGCCTGGATGCAACTCAAGAGAGCTCGGAGTTGAAGGACCTCAGGCCAGGATGGAGGAAGTGACTCCCAGCTCACGTCTGACACTGGCAGGCTTCAGTCAATACAAGGACTAAGGCTGGAATTTGGGTAGGGA